GAGGACAGCGTCATCGGCCAGCGAAACCTCATCGAGGAGGAACATGTCACCTGAGAGCATGGCTGAGACCAGAGGGCCATCGACCCACTCAAAAAGTCGACCACTGTCAACGGCAGAAGAGTCCGAGGCCGCACTGTCGGCACCACTAGGGCCATCTGATCCCCGTACTGGGCGTAGCCCACCCAGGAAGTCGGAGGCCTCGGTGTACTGATGACAATTTACGCAGTGCAACTTTTGACCTCGCATGTTGGCGAAGATTTGGCATACGGTGGTTTTTCCGCATCTAAACGAACAATGCAGCGAATGGGGAGCGGCGTAACAAAGATAATATTGTGAACGAAAGGCTCTACCAGAAGATGTCCGAACATTAGACGACAACCAACACGACAGGTAAAACAAAAAGTAGGAGTTTGCAGCTTACCCGGTCTCGCCAACCAGAAGGACAGGTTCTTTGTACTTGAGGGCGTTCCCAACAAGTACAAGGAGACGACGCATGTCCCGCGTCCAAACGACATGCTTAAACTCCTTGGAGAGCTCTACGCCACCTTGCACGGTTGATGCAGTTGAACTGACGTCTTTAGGGCTAACCAGGCTCAGAAATTCGGCCACAGCCAACGAGGATCCCGAAGCATGGTCGAAAAGACTAAACAAGAAAATAAAAAAACCGATGATCAAAAATCGACGTGCAACGTGCACCTGCGAGTGAAATTACCCGTCAAATGCGTACGCCGGGAGTGGAAAATAACCCAAGTAAAATGGAAGGTAGTAAATTTGTCTGTGCAACTGGAAATATACCATAGTGAATCTACACTAGACAGCGATAGTAGCAATGGCCATATTCATCAGAGTTTTCAGTTCGGATGATGGGTTGATTTGTTCCGTCTAAAGGGTCGACGAATCTAAGTGTAGTAAATATGCGTCAACGGTAGCGGAAAATTGGAATATTACGGGGCGATAGTTGTGGGTGTCTGGGGATTAAATGCAAGTCGAGCTGCGGAGGTCCGAGTTTTGGTGGCGAGACCAGACCACGAAGTGCGAAAGAGAACATAAAAGACTCTACCCAGAACCATACGGACCATAACATACATTCAGTGAGGTTAATTAGGGATGGGTTGATCCCGGATCGCAAGCTTTTATTGACATGGTGACACTAGATAGGGTAGTAAAGGCGTAAACTAATTACATTTGTTCACTGTGTGCATAAAAAAATTTCAAGATTATAAATTAGAATTGCATTTAAGGCACACTAGTCGGGAATGGTAGAAGTGTTAATTCGAACCCAGGAAGTCCGGACACTTGGTATTGATAACTTTGAACTCGGACCAATGTGTAAATCTGTGAAACCTAAGGCTGAAATTCATTCTGTTACAGCTCAAGCAAAGATTTTTTGGACGGAAACGGGACAAAATATCTCCCGTTATGCTTCCCTAAATCAATGCTGAAACAGTGAAATATTTTGAGCCTATGAACAAAAATATATGGATGTGTAGAAAAATATGGTCAAAAGAGTAGAAAATGGGGGAGGCAGTATTTACAGAGCTATAGTAGCTGCAAAGAAGAACCTGATTACTGACGTTGGTGTTAGTACGTACTTGTGTTCGTCGATTGGACGGTTAAAGGCTTTTCGGATGACTTCCGCAACCATAGCTGCCTCTTCAGGGCGTCGGGCCCGACCACCAAGTAGAAGGTAGCCTTGCTCTGCCAGATATGCGTCCCAGTCGAATAGCTGCTGGCGTGCACCACTGCCAACCTCGGGGACGTCAGCAATGTTGGCAAGGCGATAGCGTTCACCCCAACGGAACAAGTCCCGCAATGTGACGAACCCGTCTTTACCCTGGAAGACCTCCGAGGAACGACGCAGTAGCTGGGAGAGAATTGAGAGCACAATAAGTTTATGGTAGGCACATAGAGAGTGAAGAAGAAATGCTGTTTGCAGGATTGCCAAATGAAGAGGATCATTACTGGTAGGTTCGTTGCATTGTGTCCGCTGAGAAGCAGCGGATAGCAAATAGGTAAATCCTTGTCGTCCTTACAATTTAGTGTTAGTATCGGCTGGATGTGGCAATAATCTTGACTACAAACAGACAAGCTTGGTAGTAGAGCTCGAAGATCACCACCTCGGGCAAGCATCTGTATCATAATGACAGAGATTTGAGTGGTACTGCATTTTGGCTGTATTCTCAGAGTCGCCGGGCTGCAATGGCCAAGGCCAGGTCATGACGACTGAAAACAGATTTGGGTGCAAAGGCAAACCTGCCATTAATTTTTTTCTACGTCTGTTACGCATATGCTGGCCTCCTAGCACAGTTAACCAGAATATAGTTTTTAAAATGTCATCCCAGATGAGGGCTATTACATCTGAGAGCAATTAAGGCCTGCTTCTTAGCCTGAAGAGGGATCGAGTAACTGTCCAAGTTACCAACCATTGAAGTTACGACATGTAGGGTGCCGCAATGACGAAAAGGCGTCTCAGATTCCGTATCGTAAGAAAATGTAGCGCTCGATTGGTGTCATTCCCTATGTCCCATCCCATCATGTACCAGAAAAGCAGCCAGTAAATTGTTTGCAAAGGGTGAGCAGGCATTTCACTCTCGTATATCGCGCACACACTTGTTTTTCAGTTTGACTTCTAAAAGCTATGAGACTGCTTGCTTTGACGGCTAAACAGATATTTTAAGGAAGATGAGCATTTGACGGGGAATCGCGTAAAATTTGCCAATAACGGTTTTGGAATGACAATTTTAGAAAAACCGTACTCAGTAGTAGCGAAGTTCTTGAAAATTCACTTCTTATCTCCAGAGGCAGAACGATTAGAAGACGATGAGGGCGTAGAGACAAATGAAAAGAGCCAAATGTGCAGACGGGCGAAACCGTAGAACCGTGACGAACGCATTTTGTGGTGAGTACCACAATTGACGCTTCATGTAATAGTAAAGCAAACTTTGGTGCGTAAAATCCAACCCCACCTCCACGCTGGTGCGCGCCGGAAACT